TCAACACATCGTCATATTTACCTCACAAGACTGTTTGATATTTGCATTGTTTTTTACAAATCATTTTTTATGTAACTTATACTCTCAATTAGCCAATGACTTATTTCCCTAAGGAATGGCATTTAAACTCTTGGTTAGTTTATCATTTGTTTTTTACTTTTTCTCCTTATGCTTTAGACAAACTTTCATTTACTTCATAATTATTCACAATTTAAGCTCATTATATTTAATAATTTGAATTACCCTAGATTTAGTTCACATTTTATATGAATTGTATTATCAAATTAAATAAACTTTGAAATCTTATTAATTATTGCAGCATATACAGTAAATAATTTATAATGTTATTGAAAACTGTTAATATTTTTATGAAATTTGTTACTGTAACTTGATTTCTGTTTCATGAATCTATAAAATAAGTAATATGATACTGGTAATACAAAGAATTCTATTTATTTAAATATTTACTTTTATAAAATACTTATTACATTTGTTTTTATAGAAAATAAAAGTTTATAACAGAATTAAGAATATAACTTTTAAAAAGTTAATATTTGTATTGTCTGTTAACTGAATAAACAAATGTTTTTGCTATATACTGAACTCGCCTACAATTCTGTGGATCAATAAATACAAACGTTTCCATAGAAATTGGTGATCAATACTTCCAGACCAGACATTTCTCGCATACAGCAACTGATCTCATAGTATTGTTTTTGCTATATACTGAACTCGCCTACAATTCTGTGGATCAATAAATACAAACGTTTCCATAGAAATTGGTGATCAATACTTCCAGACCAGACATTTCTCGCATACAGCAACTGATCTCATAGTACGCTGTGTTTACAATCATGTGTAACCATTTACACTCAACTTAAATCAAACAAACACTAAAATGTGGCTAAAATATATACACAATGAAGTTAAGGAATTCTTATTCAATTCTCCAGAATATTACTTAATCTTAATTATTTGTGGATTAATAAGAAAGCAATTTTTCAATATTTTTATTGTATAATTATGTCATATAATTGTGACCAAGTAATAATGTTGCTTTTATTAATATTAAATGTATCACATTAATTGGATAATAAAATAAATAAAATGTGATACTATTCACGTTTTCACTCACTTCTCACATGAATTGTAAGTTTTCATATTTAACTGTACTTTGCAATCATATAACTTATTACATGTTTATTTCTAGAAGATTCTTTAGCAAATATGGTTTTTGTAAAATTAAATTTTTTTATTTATAAAATTAAAGATATGTCTGAAGTGATGCCTCCATTCAATAATAACACAAAGGACTTCCAGCGGAGTGGTAGCCAAACGATGACAACGAATGGTCGCAACGGTATTAGAAATGGGAATGGAGTGACAAATAAAAACAAAATTAGTTTAAATAGCGAGCCATCAGAGTGTGAGCAAACATATCAGCCACGGATCGTGTGGTGGAGTGTCTTCAAGATATCTGTCGTGCATTTAATAGCACTCTATGGGGTCTGGTGTGCCATTACTTCAGCCAAATACGAGACCGTCATTTGGATGTTCATTGTGGCCGTCAGCGCATCCTTCGGCATACTGTCGGGCGCTCACCGACTGTGGAGTCATAAGTGCTATAAGGCTCACTCTGGTGTGCCATTACTTCAGCCAAATACGAGACCGTCATTTGGATGTTCATTGTGGCCGTCAGCGCATCCTTCGGCATACTGTCGGGCGCTCACCGACTGTGGAGTCATAAGTGCTATAAGGCTCACTCATCCCTCAGGATATTGCTTATGATTTTGCAGACCCTGGCCCTTCAGAACGACATCTACGAGTGGAGTCGCGACCATAGAGTACACCACAAGTACTCGGAGACGGACGCCGACCCCCACAACTCAAATCGTGGCTTCTTTTTTGCGCACATGGATTGGCTTATGACCAAAAAGCACCCGCAGGTCATCGAAAAGGGTCGACAACTAGATATGTCTGATCTCTTGGCCGATACGGTGGTTAGATTTCAGCGCAAATATTACGTGCCATTAGTTCTGCTTATATGGGGTGTACTCCCGACAGTCATTCCTTACTATTTGTGGTCGGAAGGGCTGTTGATTTCGTTCGCTAGCAATATGTTACGGTATGTCCTTTCCCTACACCAGTCCTGGCTCGTCAACTCTGCCGCACATTTGTTTGGATTTAGAGTTTGTATTAAAATTTGATATAATTTGCAGTAAAAAACTAATTTTGGGTGTAATTTAGCCGTACGATAAGGGCATAGCCTCGCGTGAAAATCAATCGGTGGTGTACTTGAGTTTTGGTGAGGGATATCATAACTATCACCACACCTTTCCATACGGTAGGCTATTGTTTGTATAATATCATATAAGACTTTCATATATCATGTGTTTAAAAATAATTAATTTGAATTCAAATGTAAGACTACTCTGCGAGCGAATTTGGCTGGAAAAGTAATTTCAACCTGGCCACGGCTTTCATAGACTTCTTCGCGATGTTAGGTCTGGCCTATGATCTCAAGAAAGCCTCGGATAAAACGATTTCTGAAAGACAGGAGAGAACGGGAGAGAAAATAAAGGGACTCCAGAAGAATACTCTGTTAGACTATATGATAGGTTTGGTGATCACCATTTGGCCCCTTTGGGTCACATATATCTCACGAACCATTTACAGATATTTCTTTGAAAACGTCTCTTATGTTTATTAAATGAATGGTTTTTGTTATAAATGTTATTAATACCATTAAACAGAATTTTATTTTTATTTAGAAATAGTTTTTATACATTATTTAGAGATTTATAAAACAAAATCATGTATGTCTTCACACAATTGTTTTATGATAATTTATATAATGAAACCAAATTTTTGTATTTTATGAAACAAGTAAAATGTTATAGATATAGATTTTATTTCTATTAATCTACTGTAAAACAATGATACAGGTATTTAAATATACTGTATAAAAGAAATTTATGATTTATAAATAAAGTTAACAAGTTATTTAGATAATAAATGTTATATAAAAATTTATATACAGTATTACTGAATTATTTTTACAAGTTAGACATTCTTGGACAGTATTGGATAATATTTCTATTGAATAGATTTAAAGACTAGTATTTAAAATTCAAATTTTTGATATAAATAATTCAAATAAAATGTAATTTATTTTAATCGAAACTTTAATTACAAAATACGAATAAATAATTTACAATTAATATAGTATTTTAATATAGCAATCAATTTAGGTATCAAGGTATTTAGGTAGCAATCAAGGTATTTTTTGCAAATATACACCGAAAGTGACACAAATCAGTAGCTGGATATACCATGTTTGATAGGCACTCAATCTTGTTTGCATGGGATAATACCGGTGCCAAATAGATGTCGAGATCTTTGATACTTGAGATAATATTGGCCACAGTTTTGAAGACATTTTCTAGTTTTAGTTCAAAACTTTAAATCAAAAGTCGTTTGAATTGAAAGCAAAACAACTGTTTCTTACAAATCGGTGGTAATTATTCATTGCTTCAGAAGAATGTCTTTGACTTCATCGCCGGTATTTCGCTTTAAAATGGCTTTCGATGTGACGGGCAGTGACTGTCAACCAAAACCCTCGAAGTTCTTCGCTTATGAGGCCAAAGACGGTTTGGTTGATATCAAAGGTCTCAAGACTCGCATCCAAAACAAGTTGGCCATCGATTACGACTGGGATCTGATCATTGATGACATTGTGGTCGACGACTACCTGCCCGTCAGAATCATTGAATCAAATGAAGTGATAGTCATTCGTCGCAAACCAATCAACGATCACTCAAATGAAGCCTTCAATCGGTTTGTCTTTGGATTCATTGACACATTATCTGTCACTCTATTAGGTCTCAAGAGAGTCAGTACATTGAAGTGCAGAAGAAATCAGAGGATTCTGTAACAACTCCAGCGATTTTGGCCACAAATCGGTTTGACTCTTGAGTATAAAATTAAAATTAATTGAATGATTGATTTGAATTGATTTGTCTGATTGTAGACCAAAGAGGAAGAGATCTGAGAAGAAGTCCCAGTGGATGGCCAATGGATTTGATGGCCGGACCACCACTAGTGGTGATGAAGATTTGGTTCAAAACAGCCAATCATTGATTGATGAAAACAATGATTTGGTGTTCAATGGATTCGATGAAGACATGATTGGATCCCAAAGTGATGGCTCACCGCATGAGAGGTCGAAGCGAGTGAGAAGACCTGTCAAACGATTCGGAAATGTCTTCAGTTATTAGATACTATTCTCTCAGTTACCTCTCAATCAGTATTTCATTTTTGCTTTCAATTCATTCAAATTGTGCTATTATTTCAAAATTGCAAATCATTTTGTTTCTTAATTATCTCTTTTATTTGATTATCTGATGAGAAAATCAATTATAAACTCCATATTTAATGCAATTAGTCATTAGTCTCATCACTTTCTGCCTCATCACTGAGTACTTCATTTGATTTATGAATTAAGTGATTGAAATGTTAATCATTTTTTTCAGGATTTGTTATCAAAAGTTTTAAATAGAAGTTATTCTCTCAATATTATTATACCTGTTTTAAACGTTTAATATCATTTGTTATCAAATTATTTTTGATTTTAAAATCTAATTAATTAAGTAATTATATAAAACATTTCAAACTTTAAAATATATTTGTTTTACTCTAAAATACATACTATATTACTGTACCGGTACTTATTTATTATGCGGTAAGTCTTAATTTATACAAATATGAGATCATTAGACTCAATAAATAAACAATTATAAGCTCAAATATAGTTAAAATTCTTACATTACAAAGCAAAACTTAACAATTTATACAATCAAATAAATAGTAATATCAAAGACTAAATTTTGCTAAATTTTTCTCAATTTCTTTCTTATCAAAAAGCACGGTATAGTCAGCGTCGGTATCAATAGCCTCCCAGTGCTGTGGTTCGGCCGAAGCAAACATGACAAACAAAATGACTCCAATTATGTCCAATACGGCCGAGAAGTAGAAGAGATAACTCCACGTATGCATTGAATGTGGATTACTATCGATAATAACGCCCACAAAATAGGGAACAATGAATCCATTGATAGATCCGATTGAGTTCATGATTGCAAATACAGTTCCCGCGTATGTCTCAGTCATATCGACCACAATAGGGGCGTCACCACCGGATGTAAAGCCCATCACAAGCATACAAATGGTCAGTAACATAATGTTCATAGTCTTATCACAGCCGACATAAGTGGTCATCACTAGAGCCACAGCCATCCCTACACCAGCTATGGTCTGAAATAGTTTTCTCACATTTGTTTTGCTAATCCTTTTGGTCTCAATAATCAGATCTGCGATATAGCCGGTGCTCAACGTAGTGATAGCCAAACCTATCATTAATATGGAGTAAATGAGGCCATTCTCGGAGATCGGAAAGTGTATGACATCTTGAAAATATGCTGGAATTTTAGATGTTATGAAATCCCATGTAATGCCTAAAAGCAGTTTCCCTATCATTACTGATAGAAAACGCTTTGAAGTCAATATCCTTTTCCAAGGGATTGAGTCCCGGATCATATTATGTCTTCTATACTCAGATCTCCTTAAGATGTGATTCAGTTCACTGTCTGTTATCCAAGAGTGGGTACTTGGACTCGACGTGATCACTGAAAACCATAGAAAACACCATAATATCGCCACAACACCTAACAATAAAAATAGTTTATTAGAAAATGTATTAAACTAATTTTTAAAAACTAAAATACATTTAATAGCATTTGTTTAAACTATCTAATGAAAAAATAATTTGCAAATTGTATTCAAACATTGGCTTCAAATGATTTTTAACATATTTAACTGTCATTTACCAGATATGTAGAAAACTGAAGGCCAACCGCCCATCACTTTGTTCTCAATGAGATGTCCGGCGCCGGCAGAGCAGACAATTGTGCCGACAGTGCAGCCGACATCCAACCAGGGTATGAAAGTGCTGTGCTCTTCAGGTGGGATCCATCTGGACATCAATACCATGAATGATGGGAATAGTATGCCCTGAACTAATCCCAACACAACTCTGGATGCAATGAATAAATAGAAATGCCAGTGAATTATGAATGGCGTCAACAGATTGATTAATCCCGATATGAATATTGAGGTTCCGATCATATATTTAGCGCCATATAGTTCTGACAGTCGGCCACCTATTATTTGCGGCCAAACATACCCTTCAAAGATAATAATCACATAATTTTAATTAAATGTAAATTATTATAAACTTATTATTGAGTTATCAATAGATTCATTACTATATTATTTGTTATTAAAAAGTATTGTATAAGAAACCTTAATAGCATTTGATCTAAAGTTTTGAAACAAAAGTTTATTCAAACATGTATTTGAAATTAAATACTAGAGAATATGATAGAATATAGAATTGAGTATACCATAATAGAAAGCACCAAGTACAATTCCCTGGGTGGGTGGAGACCAGTCAAACACTCCTACAATTTATTCAAACATGTATTTGAAATTAAATACTAGAGAATATGATAGAATATAGAATTGAGTATACCATAATAGAAAGCACCAAGTACAATTCCCTGGGTGGGTGGAGACCAGTCAAACACTCCTACAATTGAGACTTTGCCATCACTGACAACATCAGCCGGACATTCATCAGAATGAAGTGATGATATATTTTTGAGAGGATCATTGGCACTGTTTTGCGGTACACTAATCACCATATCAACGATGGCCACATTGATATTGACCCTGGTCATATACATGACAGCGCAACCAAGTAGTGACACAAACGACACGAAAAACCTGAGCGACAAAAACTTTTGTGATTTGTGCACCGATTCTATGAATTCGTGTTTTGGTAGTAATTTGTCCGCCGAATCTGAATCCATTTTAATTAATTATTATTTATTATTTAATTTGTTGGCACTTAATTGAATTAATTGCAAATATTTTCAGCTCATTTTCATTTTAATCAATGCAATTCCACATAAATACAAACATATCACTACTATTTATGTAACTTAGATTTAGATAACACAGTGTTTGGATATTTATGACTTCAATCCCCAGTAACCACTACTTCTAAACACTGTAATCAATGAAACGGCAAAAAATAAATGGCAAATACTGTGTAGTAATCGTTATTAGCGGAAACTCTATGCTCCCAATTCAATGTCATTTATACTGTGTTCAGCTGTCTATGAATTTCTCAAATGTGTTTTACTCTATTTAACATACATTCTGCTCGGAAAGGTTTATAATGTAATGGTAACTCAATATAATGAAAGGTTTATATAACAAAACCAGATTCCAGACAAATTGGTTTTTTGTATCAATAAAAGTATAAACTTGTGTATTAATACAAATACCGTAATAAGTTTTATTGATTCAATAAAAATACAAATAATGAATGATTTAATACAAATGAATGTCTTTAAAAAGTTTAATATATTTGAGAATTAAAAATTAAAAACATTAAAATACAATAATTTCAAAACACACCTGAAGTAACAGATTATAATTATATGATAATACCATGGTAAAGTAATATCTATTTAACACAATATTTTGATCATAAATAATGAAAAATTTGATTTACATTTGAATCACCGAAACTCATTAATCAAATGAAGAGCACAGAGATCACGGAAAGAGTGGCACTAAATATACACAAATCAGGATTTGTAATGGATTTGACACGAGATAATCATATGAAGAGGTAATTACAAAATGATAAGAAATTAAGTTAAAATACAACTCAAAAGCAATTGACACACAGATTAAGACATAAATGAAGGAATAGTATCTAATAATAGATAACATGAACGGTGAGTTTCATTGGTTTTATTAGTCTTCCACTCCTCGACCGCTCCTGCGATAAGCCGTCACTTTGGGATCCATTCATCTGTTCATTCAATTCATTGACAATCAAACCACTGATCTCTTCAGTCGATGATTGGCTGCTTTCACATGAAACCTCTTCACCACTAGTGGTCCACCCATTGGATCCATTGGTCAGCCATCGGACCCTCTTTTCAGACCTCCTCTTCTGTGGTCTTCAATCAGATAATAAGACAATCATTAAAACCATTCAATCATTAGTCATAAACTGAAGAAACAAACCTATTTGTGGCTAAAATCTGTGGAATAGTCACCGACTCCTGTGAATCCATCTGCACTTCAATGGAGTGCATGTCTTGAGACCTAATAGAGTGACAAATGATTCAAATTATGGACTAATTGTGTGTCAAATGAATGCAAAGACAAACCATTGATGGCTTCATTTGAGTGACCAGTGATTGGTTTGCGACGAATGACTGTCACCTCATCTCTTCCAATGATACCGACGGGCGGGTAGTCGTCGACTACAATGTCATCGATCATCAGATCCCAGTCATAATCGATGGCAAACTTGTTTTGGATGCGAGTCTTGAGACCTTTGATGTGACCGTCTTTGGACTCAATGGCGAAGAACTTCGTGGGCTTCGGGTGACAGACACTGTCCGTCGCATCGAAAGCTATTTTAAAGCGCTTTACCGGCGATGAAGTGGAAGACATGGTTCACAAGCAATGGATAATTACCACAAGATTTAAGACAAACACTTCAATTGCTTTCAATTCACTAATGAAACGACTATTGAATCAAAAGTTTAGAAATTTGTGTTACGATTACAGTTGTGTTTATTTGTATGCATTTATTTATAACGAGTAAATCCTATGACTAACAAATTGTTAGTAACAATCATATTATTGGTATATTTATTTGGCATATGTATGGCCTCTACCACTGCACGTATGGTTGTCTGTCAAGCGCCCGGTGCCGTGATGTGGTCGCACCCCGGGGTGTATGTATTGATGGTGTTTGTCGGTATCAAGTCATGAGGATATTTATTATGAACCATATTAAGGATACTGTACTTTTAAAACGGGTTAAACATAATGATTATATTTACAGAATTCATGTTTAAAGTCAATCTAATTCATACCATTCAGTGGTAAATACTGTATTGAATTTGTCAAATCATATCATGAAATCATTTTAATAAAAACTTTAATTTTCAATGATTAGATTGATACAATAATGTAAAGTATGTTCAATAACTATTAAATGTAACATTTATATTACAGTAATAACTTCTTAATAATAAGTAAAAATGATAATTGATCATAGTTTGAGCAACAATTAGTTTGAAGTCATTTATAAAACATATTCAAATATAAGGGAAAAATTAAACAAAAAGTTATACGCAAAGTTATACAGTACAAAAGTTGTATAAATAACTTCAAACTAATTGTTGTCAATTGTTTGAATATATTTCGTTATAAACCAGTAACCGATTTATGAAATTATTGCGAAAGTATTAAGACTTATAACTTCTTTTAATACAAACTCACTGTAAATATTCAATTGTATTACCGTACTATTTATTAAAGTCAATCATACAATAAGTTGTGCACAAAAAACATGAAATTTACTCTTATTTTGACTTTAATATCATTGAATCTGGTTCTGATGTCAACTACACAACAAACTAATAGTAATTACTGATTGATAAGCTAATTAACATTGATTTGTATATAAAACCTGATAAGAATATGATTTTATTACCTGTAGTGGAAACAAATAAGTTATTCATTGGTGAGAAATCACAAAGAAATGCTTTCAACAAACTTAAAGCAAAGTCTAAATTGTTTACACAAAACCTCAAAGAATCGGAAAAAGTTGATCAGAAAATGGACTCATTATTTGATTTCAGAAAATTGGATTCAATTGTAGATAAAAACGAGAGACATGTTGAATACAATTGGATGAAAGAATTAAAGAGAACTTTAAAAGAAAATATTAATTAAGAGATTCTTAATTAATTACAAATTCTGTAGATTTATTATAATTTATAAACGAAATTTTTAATAATAATTTTACCGTAGTAACTGTATCCATAAAATAAAATGACAAAATAAAACTTTATAAATTCAATTGTAATTTTATTTCATTAAGTATCCAACAATATTCTCTAAGACATAGAAAATAGCCATTTTCTGAGTTCGCGACAATTTATGTTCAGTTTGATTGACTATATAAACAATTACTTCGCGAACCACTTCCCAAACACTGATCGTACAGCCATTGTACTGATGGCCGCAATCATGCCCTCTTTGTTTGCCATAAACGGCTGCCAAACGATATCTTGACATAACATTTGATGACTTGTTATCCAAATCGTCATTATATGGGAAGACAGCTCTGAATAGTAGACCAATGAGTCCATACTTTTTGGGCTTATTATACAACTCGCAGACAGACCACTGAAAACAGTTTTGGAGTTTATTTCGTGCAAAATATGGCAATCGATGCAATGAGTTGTCCATTGAGTTGAGAACCGACTCGAAGGCTACGTTCAGGTTCTGTCCCAAGAAGTAAAACATTGAATGCCTTTCCTCTGACCGCAGAGACCTACTAATAGCCGACTCCGACATGAAATTCATTTGATTTTCTAGAAATCTATTAATAGACTCGACGTTCAGATTCGGGGCTAAACTTCTTCGCCGGTGTTCAGGGAATATGAGCGGAGAAAACAACGCGATTCCCGCCAATACAAACAGCGCCTGTATCAGGGGGTAGCCTATGAGGTAAGAGTAGCATTTTCATTAACTCTACTAAACCAAACAATAATTGAATTTAAGAAATTAAGTGCTGACCGACATTGTAGCCCATGTTGGGAGTGTTGACGGAACCGACTCTATTCCTCTGGGGAAGGGTTAACGTGAAGAATGGTATTTGACAGACAAAGGAGGCGTTATACCATCGGCTCACATATATGGAGTGCTTGTATTGCTTGTACAGGTCAATAGCATCCTGGTCGTGTCTGGCCGTAAATGCCGAGTCTCTGTGTCTGTCGTATTCACGAATGTATTCAAAGCCAAACCACGGCTTCTCTGTCTCTTTGCCCACAATTCGTGTAATGAACGCAATGCACAGAAAACACAACAAGTATTTCACGGCATTTGACACTCGAAAGCAAAACATTTTAATTATGAAAAATTGTGGAAAACAGCAATTAAGTGAACAAATTACACGTGATTTGCCGTCAATTAGTGGCTTACAACAGCTCACAATACAAATGAAAATTGTTTGTTATTTTTAAAAGTATTTCTTCAATTAACATTGAATTTGTGTTTAAGAAGTCATTTACCCCTAAAACCGAAGTTTTCCAAACTAAAGCCCCAATAAAAGACCTAAAATGCATTTGAAACAATTGTCAATAAGTTTAATAAGAGTATTAGAGTCCAATAAATTAACTTTTTAAGTAAAAGTTTCTTGGATATACAAAAACTTTGGTATTAAAACTTCCTTCCCTTCCCTTTCAATAAACCCATGAATGCTTTGCAAACATTAAAAAGTAAATCCTTTACACAAATACAGCGTATAATATAATAAACATTAAATTCAGATTAAAAGCCATTTATTGGCAAAACTATTTAAGAAGGCAATAAAACTTTATATTAAAAATAAAATTTGTTTAATAAAAGTGTCATAAAAACTATTTGCAAGCCTTCCTGAGAGCCCAAAGCTATTGTAAGCCAATGAATAAAAACTGTATTTAATTAGAAAACAAAATCAATATTAATCATAAAAATTAAAATAAAAAACTTTTTGACGCAAACATAAAACTTATTATTGTACTTTGGCATTGCAATCAAAAGCTACCTGTCCCATAGGGGGTGCACTGGTAGGCAGCAGCACAGTGTTGGGCGCGCATGACGTGAGACACAGCATACCAGTGCTGCCTCTGATCGACACACAGAGACTGTACGACAAGTGACTGTTTAGGGGACAGACAGACAGGTATTGCACACCAATTAGACACCGATTTGTGTAACCGTTTGGCACTAAAACACTGCAAACACTACTCATTGCTATTAATATGTGTCTCACGTAATGATCGTCTTATTCATCGCTCGAGACTATTACCACTGAATCCCTGCCAAACCATGTCGCCGTGTCCACTCCTCAGGAGCTATTCATTAGTATTTATATCAATTGTACACATCTTTGTCATCATCAATATTATCATCACTTTTAACGGTACGTATGGCTCGCTCGCAGTCATCGGTGGTACGCGTCTTGTACGCCACCATCGACTCGACTAATTGGTGGTAATGTCTGATCCATTGTCTCGATGTGTTAGGTGGAGGTGTGGCGAGCGGTGGTGAGACGTGTCGTCGCAAAGACGTGAACGGAAACGACGAGGTCTTCGAGTGTCCCCGTCTTTTCGAGTCCAATAAGAAGCGCTTCTGCTGTGGATTCACACCACAAGACAAACACTGTTGCGAATGGAGTAAAAAGAGTCGCGACATCATCGCCAACCCATCCGATGTCAAGTACCTCTTCGAGGGCGCGGTGGCCGTCATTATCATGGCTTTGCTCGTCATCGGAGGTCTCATCATCTGCTGCTGTGTCTGCGCCTGTTGTCTGTTGTCTCGTAAGAGGCAAAGACGTGGACATGTTAGTACCTCTTCGAGGGCGCGGTGGCCGTCATTATCATGGCTTTGCTCGTCATCGGAGGTCTCATCATCTGCTGCTGTGTCTGCGCCTGTTGTCTGTTGTCTCGTAAGAGGCAAAGACGTGGACATGTCATAGGCAAGTGTCCATCTGATTGTCACGTGTCCAGTGCCGTTCACCACAACACTATCAATGAGTTGTTCCAAGTGTTTGGTTTAAATCAGTTTTGTGTCATGTCTTTAGATCGTAAGACACAGTCATCTAATTGCTATGTCGTATGGATTAAGCCATGGATTAATTGATTTGTTTATTGAGTTAATCGTACGACAAATATATTTGTAAGAAAATGACTTATTTTTGAAGGTTTTTGTCTCACAATTGACTGCATTTTTGTGATAGAAATCCAGTTTTTGCCGTCAATTAAATTCAATTAGAAATTCACTTATTTTTTTTGTTGCCTTTCAATACATAACCAAATCAATGAACAAATACCACACGACTTGTGTTCAAATATTAGCTCTGTTTGTGTATAAGTTATTATCTGTAAAATTACTGACAATTATTCAAATGTCTTGTGAATGGCCTTAAAATTGAAAACAAATATTTCTTTTATCTAATCGATTGACATATCCATTGATAGTTTGATTTTGTTTTTATTGCCGTATAATTGATTATTAATCGTGTATTTTATGTCTGATTGTATGGCGACTGATAGGTCACCCGCCGGACGGAACAAGTGTGACAACCGTGACGTCCCATCCAAACAGTGCCTCATATCCGGTGCAACCGAACGCCTACCCCATGCAGAACGTGACGGCGCCCTACGACCAGCCGCCGCCGTATAACTTCAGTCAAACACAGCCGGCCTTTAATCCGTCGTATCCCTCATATCATATCAAATGAGTCCTTCAATGAGCTTAACGTGCGATAGGTTTTCCACACGAAAATCAATTCATTTTTTTTGTTTTATATTTTTTTTGTCATTTGAGTTATGACTTGAATTATGTTCACGAATTTGCCTATGATTTCAGACATACTGTACTAACTAATCGTTTAACTAACTGCCCGTTTCCTAACCACTGTCCTAAACCTAACCCAACCAGTCATGTCTTCCGAGCAGTTTGTTTGCAATCAAAAAATGTTTTTTAGTTTTAAAATTTAAATTCCGTACAAAATGACGACTTTGTCAGATTTGTAGTATTTTTAGTTTTTTCAACATTTTTGTGGGCATTTATTTCATAGTATTGACGCAAAACTGTTTAGTTTTGTAATTGAGAAACCTTTTTGTTAATTACTGTATTTTATGACAACTTTTTGATCAAATACTCGTTTATATTATATTATATTTTTGTTGTTTTATTCCCTCCTAACTGTGAAAGCCTTGAAATCTCAATACATTT